GTATGTATAATCAATATCTTATTTAAGTTAAAATCAAACTCTATATATAATTAGCACTAGAATCAATATAATACATATATTTTATTTTACATAATTTTTTAAGACCTCTTCTTTGAGAATATATTTTTATAGAAAAACCAAACTATGAACTGTTTAAAACAAATTTAAAAAACTCTAACAAGTCAAATGAAAAAATAACAAACCAATCAAACTCATATGTATCAGGAATAGTCATAATACTATTGTTTCACTTTGTGCAATTGCATGTAGGAAAAGAGAAGTTTCAAGGAGGTTTTTGGTCAATGATGTAAATTAGTATATATTATGACTAATATGAGCAAATTGCAAAAATATTCAACAATTATATCAAAGTAGGTAACAACACAATGTTTACTTGGTAAATATAAATATTTTATAAGAATATATGTAGGAGATAAATTGATATGTATTATGACAAAACAATTCTCATAATACACCTCATGATTATAATCAATATTTTCACATATTTTTTTTTTAATGATTTTAAACCAATTATAAAGTTTGATATAATAAAATATTGATATATAAGACTTTTTAATATATATATATATATATATATATATATATATATAAAGAACAATCAATAAGGATAAGGTGGATTCATATATCAAAGTAATTATTGATTATTATTAATTTAATATATAAACGTGATCATCGATTCATTTAGCGCACAACGCACGATGTCAAACACTAGTTTATTTAATTCATCTTTCCATTCTTTTAACTCAATAAATGGATGATGTGAAGTATAATATAATTGGAGTCCTCAAAACATGGTGGTCAATATATTTAATTCAAGATCTATATTTCGGTTTGACTTTGAATTTGACACATACAACAAATTAAATCAAAATTCTATATTTTTTTAAAGCTCTCTTTTTCCATATATTTTATATGTTTTGGAGGTTTTCATGAAAACATTAGTTTTATTATTAGTTTTATTTTTAAGATGAAAGTCAGGTTTACATACATCATACTTCTTAGATTTCATTCCTTAATGATATATATAAACCTGTTTAATTTGATATATTTTTCTAAAAACAAGTGGTTTTAAATTTGAAAAATAGGTTTAGCTGCCGTTTACCAAACGCTTACCCAAGTAAGCACTTGCCAATTCACTTTATTTTACCGGATGAGTATGACAATGATTAAAAATCTTACCCGGTAAGAACGAAGGCAAGAATCGAGAGTCTTATTCGGTAAGTGAGGACGATGACTCTTACCATGGTTAGCGCTTACCGGGATAAATTGTTGCATACGATACGTTTTAGTGAATAAAATCTTACTCAGTAAGTAAGCGATAGTGTTAAATTTTGCTAATAAGTGCTTACTGGGTAAATGTTTAGGTAAACGGCCCCTAAGGGCACCCGTCCAACACTTGATAGTTGTATTTTTGTGTTGACCATAAATTACATACAAGTGGCACCCGTCCAATACTCGATAGTTGTTCTTTTGTGTACATTAGAGTCAACCGCGTTGTTGTCAAAAGAGCTCATCATATACGTAATTGCTAAACGCTCCCTTGACTTTATTCTTTTTTCACTTTGCATCATGAAGGTTTTTCTTTTAGCACAAATCGGATTTTCATAGAAGGATTTTGAGACATGACTAAGGGGTCGTTTACTCAAATGTTTACCCGATAAGTGCTTACCAATAGAATTCAACATTATAATTTGTTTTGATACGTAAGATTTTAATACATCAAAACATATCGAATGAAACAAGTTACTGGGTAATAACCAATACACGAAATGACGAAAGATGTGTCTTAATTATGAAATTCTAGTTTAGAAAAATAAAAATGGATTAAATTAGGCAGGCTCAAGAAAATTATGAAATTAGGATTACAATTTACTTAATTTTAGGGATATATTTATTTAATTAATTTAAATAATCTTGTAAATATAAATTAATTCTCTCAATTATATTATTGACTACTAAAAAAACACACTGAGAAATCATTTTGTTCGATTACTTCTTAAATCCGTCATTCAATTCCTTAATTATTCGTAAAATTTACTTGTAAGTCTAAAATGAAATTTAGTCATTCAATTCCTTAATTATTCGTAAAATCCAATTGTGTAAAATTTATCTTTTTTATTTAATTATATAAAATTTAAGTTCAAATAAAAAATAAATGCTGCTAACGAATCGTATACGATGTGTCTTGGCTTGTTTACCACTCCAATTTCCGTTCCATGTTTATACTTGGATCTTTTGACCCGAATACCAATCAACTATAATATTAAAGTGACATGGTCAACTCTTCATTCATTTGCCTAAGAATTGCTATAAAAACGCCCCTAAACTTCTACTTTTTTCATTCTATACCCGAAAATGTCTTTTCCTCTTTCAATGACCAAAAAACCTCACTTTGTTTTGGTACCTTTACTAGCACAAGGTCACATGATCCCTATGATCGATATGGCTCGGTTATTGGCTAAACAAGGGGTTGTCGTCAGCTTGGTGACAACCCCTTTGAATGCCTCGAGATCCGCTAGTAATATTAAACAGGATCAAACCAATGGGCTTCTCATTAACTTGGTGGTAATCCCATTCCCTTGGCAGGAAGTTGGATTACCATCAAGATGTGAGAACCTAGACAGTCTCCCCTCAAGAGACCTTATACACAAATTTTACCATGCCCTTGATTTGATGCAAAATCCATTGGAAGAGTATTTGGAGAAACAAAAACTTCCTCCGAGCTGCATCATCTCAGATAGATACATGTATTGGACATCTGAAACAGCTCAGAAGTTTAATATACCACGAATCGTTTTCCATGGAACGGGTGCCTTTGCGTTGTTGTGCTCGCATAACGTGAAACTCCATAATGCACATGTTTCAGTGGCATCAAACTCTGAGGTTTTCGAGATTCCAGAAATGCCTCTAAGAGTCGATGTCTCGAGGATGCAACTGCCGAGTGCAGTTATAGCATCAGGTAACTTAGATGACATTCGTGCCCGAGTGGAAAAGGCGGAATCAAGTGCTTATGGAGTAGTGATGAATACGTTTGATGATCTTGAGCGTTCTTGCATTGATGCATACCAAGAGAAGATAAAGAAAAAAGTGTGGTGCATTGGCCCGGTTTCAATGTGTAACAAAGAAACCCTAGACAAATTCACGAGAGGGAACAACTCTTCTATCAATGAGAAACAATGCATTGAGTGGCTAGATTCCATGAAGCCAAAATCTGTTCTATACGTTTGCCTTGGCAGCCAATGTCGCCTCATTCCGTCACAATTATTCGAGCTCGGGCTTGCCTTGGAGGCATCAAACCATCCATTCATTTGGGTCATAAATCGTCGAGAGAGATTCAAAGAACTAGAGAAGTGGTTAGTCGATGAAAATTTTGAAGAGAGGAACAAAAGAAAGGGATTACTGATCATCGGGTGGGCCCCGCAAGTTCTAATATTGTCCCATCCATCGATCAAAGGGTTTCTGACTCATTGCGGGTGGAACTCAGTTATCGAAGGGATTTGTTCAGGCGTTCCAATGATCACATGGCCAATGTTCTCTGAGCAATTCTTGAACGAGATCTTGATCGTGAAGATTCTAAAGATCGGGATCTCTGTTGGGGTTCGAGTTCAGGTTCGATGGGGAGAGGAAGAGAAAGTTGGGGTGGTGATAAGAAAACATGAGATTAAGAAGTCCATAAAACGTTTAATGGATGAAAGAATTGACGAGGAAGAGGAGGAGGAAATAAGGAAGAGGGCTCAAGAGGTAGGAGGATTAGCAAGAAAAGCCATAGGAGAAGGCGGTTCAGCTGAAGTTAACATCAAATTATTGATTCAAGACATCATTAATTTCCGTATTCCCTCTCAACAATCATTTTAAAACATGTCATGTATTTAATAATAAATATTTAAATTATTATTTGTTTAAGAAAAATAATGTTAAAACTAATTAGAAAATAAATATACAAAATATATTATGTAGTTAAGAGTATTTACATAAAATATCCTAAACTATGAATATTTAGGGTTGTGGATAAAAGTAATGTATAAGAATAAATATTTATTTCCCATTATAAATAAATTATTTGAATTGATTTCGTGCCATATGAATGTTAGTTTATGTTGGGATTTGTACAACTATCACATGTTGTAAAAGGAAAGGTAAGGTTTTGTAAGTTAGAGTATTTTTAATTAAGGGGTTGCTTACCTAAATACTTATATGGTAAGTGTTTACTGTTAGAAATCAACATTATAATTTATTTTTTGGATAAGATTGTAGTATATCAAAATGGTATCGTATGCAACAATATATACGGTACGTGCTTATCCGAATAAGAGTCGTCACTCTCATTTACCGGGTAATTAATACTCTCATTTAAAAAAAGCAGGTATGGAGTTATAACCTTTGACAAAAGAGGTTAGCGAAAATTTCTCATGAAAAACTTGGTATGAAGTAAGGCATTTCAGTTTTGAAAACCCTTCAAAAAAGCACATTATGGATGCTATTATAAGGTGAGTCCTACAAAACAAAACTTAACAAATTAGACAAAAGCCTATCTAATCTAAGGGAGGAAACCTTGACATGTATTTAAATGTTAAAAGATTGGGCATTGGGCCTCGAGTCTTTTGACTACAAAACAAACGTTTACTAAATTAGTTGAATCCTTTAAATTAAATTAGCGCTCGATAGTCGATACCACTGCACAAGTAGGGGCTAAAATTTGCTTAAGGATACTCCATAGTATACCAGGCCTTTATCTGATTACGAATCGATTATTGATTTCTAGTTACTTGTTCATCCTACTTTGATAAGAATTTGTGATATATATATATATATATATATATATATATGAGGTTTACTTTGCAAACCACGTTACTTGTACAAACCATACAAACCTCATTCAATCAATCATAATTTTTCATTTTGTTTATTTTTTTGTAATTATGAGAGGTTGATTAATCATTTTGTTGTGAAGGGTGTTAATCATGAATATTATCATCTTCATTATTTTAATTCTAAAGAAATACATGAAACAATTTAATTAAAATTTCATTAAGTATTATATGAAACAATTTCATAACTATATATGAAACAACTTCATCAAAAAAATTATTATATGAAACAATTTTACAAGATTAAACAATTTCATGAATTTTTTTTATAAGATTAAACAATGAAATCGACGGATGAAGGTGGTTTGCACGATTTGTACAAACTAGATGGTTTGCATTTGATCGCTTATATATATATATATATATAKAGAGAGAGAGAGAGAGAGAGAGAGAGAGATGAGTGATCAATTGCAAACCACCTTCATTTGTGAAAACCTTACAACCAATCTCATCGATCCATTTTCTGTATCAATGGTCAATATTAAATGAGTTTATATTAGAATATAAAAAAAATAAAAAAAAATTTAATTTTTAATTAAAAAAGAGCAAATTTGTCAAATCCCCAACAATGAATTAGGTATATCCTAATAACTACTATTAATTATGGAAATGTATTAATTGAAATGTGTTATATGGAAGGCGGTAAAAAAAATTTCTTAATATAATTTTTTTACCATTAATATTTTTTATTATTTTATTAAATTATACTTATTAAAATATAAATTATAAAAGCAGTAGAATATGAAATATGTGTTCGTTTCATTGAAAAAATATATATGTACTTTGAGTAATAAAAACGAATGTCATGTTCAATAGTGACCATGAACACAATTTCACTGATTAATTTATTAATATTTCAAAACGTTTTTTGCATGAAAAACGTTCATTAAATTAAAAAAATTCAATTTTCAAAATGTTTCTTTAAATTTTTAAAAATGTTTCATTCTTTGTATGTTTCATCGTTTATTATGATTTCCCTTGTTTTAAAATTATTTTGATCAGAAATTTTTAATAGTCCAATACTAATTCAATAACCGTTAATGAAACAATTTGCAATTATCGTTCAACACTACATGACAATTGTCTGTCTTTCATTGTAGGTGACAAGGAGTCACATGAGTTCATTATATAAAAGTTGAAACAGTTTCATTTCTTGTCATCTACAATGAATTAGGTATATCCTAATAAATTATGAAATATAAAACATACTATAATCAACAAAAAATAATGAAACATTTTGAATATTAAAGCAAAGATTTTGTTTCATTAAATCAAGAAATGAAACTGTTTCATTATTTTTTGTTTCAATACTAATTCAATGACCGTTAATGAAACTGTTTCATTAAATCAAGAAATGAAACTGTTTCATTATTTTTTGTTTCAATACTAATTCAATGACCGTTAATGAAACTGTTTCATTAAATCAAGAAATGAAACTGTTTCAAAAAATGAAATGAACACAAATTTCATATTATACTGCTTTTACAATTCATATTTTAATAAGTATAATTTAATAAAATAATCAAAATATTAATGGTAAAAATTTATATTAAGAAAAAAGATTTACCTCCTTCCATATGAAACGTTTTCATTAATAGATTTCCATAATTAACAATAGTTATTACCTTCCACTATTAATCAATATATGATGAAATGACCATTATACCCTTACTTATTAAAATTAAATTAAAAAAACCGGAATTTTTTTATTGGTTGAAAGTGGTTTACATAGTTTTCATGAATTGAGCGGTTTGCAACGTAACTGCCTCTCTATCTCTCTGTGTTAATATATATATATATATATATATAGGGTATATTTCAAATGCAACAATGTCTATTTATATAACCAATGCGACCCAATTAATTAAGATATTTATGGAAATGATGAGAGTTCATTAATTACGATCAATACTTTATATTATGAAACAATAAAAACTTTTATGAATTCACATATTCATCAAACTAAATGGACGGTTGAGATTCAGTTTTATTGGTTGTACAAATGTAAATGGTTGCATAATAACTATATATATATATATATATATATATATATATATAGCCTTCTTTTAAGAGCTCATTAATTTATGAGATTTGTGACATCCAATTTAAACCATAAAAAATAAGTTGAAAAATAAATCATATATAAATTAAAACATCTATCATTTCTCTTCTCTCCCAAGTTTTCTCCCGTTTCTCTCTTTCTTTCATATTTTCTTTTTCCTCGTTCCATAAAATGCACGTATATATATAATTTAGTATAAACTCAAGTTGAATACATTGTGAACATTTTTTTATAAATATTATTATAGTTTGTCAATACATTATGAACACACTTTAAGTCTACGAGATTTGTTATCTTTTATAAACATATTGTGAAGCAAAACAAATATAAACATACTATTTGTGAACATAATGTGAACCTTGTGTTTTGAACATCCTAGTAAATATTTATTAAGGTTGTTTCCATTGTGTGCACGATATTAATATGGAGATAGAAGAGAGGGATAGAAATAAATATGGAATTATTTTAAAAAAGACATTAATTTTTACTTAATAAATAACAATGATTAACTTCTTAATTATCTCATTAATTAATTATATTAATTATCTTAAATTAGTGGTATAGAATGGATCTCACATATTTCCCATATTTTGGAGTTTTCAAATGATTAAGCTCCTATACATACACACTAGACATTTTGTTTATTTGTTTGATTACCTGGTTCAAACAGTTTATTGTTTACTAAATCAATTTGTTAAACTTATATTTCAAATTAAATTTATTTTGGGATCGATGGCATGTTGATAGCAAAAATACACACATGTAAATGAGGTGTAATAGTGGTGCAAGTATATACCAACTATTAATTTCGCCTTCAAGTAATATAACAGTATAGTATCAAAATCGTATTCACAGGGACCGGTCTTACTAAGAATTCGAGATTTCCATGACCTTTTGATACAAAGTTGAATTATATAAATTAGTCATTTTGGAGAAAATATTGGTGATTTAAAATGGCAAGTAATAAAAGGGGATATATGTGCAAGCTTCCCCAAGAGTATGATAGTAACTTAAATGTTTGACAAAACTGGTCACAAAATAACCCCACACTATTTCCTTCTCCCAAAACTACGTCGTATGGGATGTGGCCACGTCTCGCCACAAAGTGACTACAAATGCTAACTTTCGTTTTGCCAACCTTACTAAGTAGATCCCAAAGATTTTAGCTCTGTCAGTATAAAGGATGCGCATATCTCTATGACACACCAACTTGACCAACATCTGAACCTTAGTAACGATTATGCAACAACCCATATCCCTATGTGATTATTGAAGAATTTGTCAAACGTGTTTGCATCATTCAAGTTGTATTATGAATCTGTCCATATCTAGGGTCAAATATCTAATATTCACACAGATAAGTGATCGACTTATCGGCATTGAGTTAAAGTTACAACTTGAATGGCCAAATGGAAAAGTTAGCGAAAAGTAATAACATCCAAGTGTTATATTTTACCTCTTGGGTTTCGCTTATATCCACACCTAGTGGGGTTATCTAACGCTTAAAAGAGAAGACATACTAGAAGAAAATAAATACTTAAATTTAAATTGCATTAACTAAAACTCGGCACTGTGGCCACAATTTCGCCACAGTGGTGAGTAGAAAATATAAATGCTGGAAAATAATTACAACTAGCTAAAGGAAATTAGAAGAGAATTTGATAATTCTCAACTGATTCTCAACATCTCAAATATGTCCACGATGAAATGCCAAGCCCCTTTATATGAGTGAAGAAGAGAGGAGTGAAAGTGACTTCGAGGTGTAAGAAAGTAACATTACATGGCTTGTCTTCTTCCTCAAGCTTGTTCTATCTTCTTTGTCTTTTTTTTCTTCATTTTCATGAAAAACTCGTGGTTGAACATGGCTGAAATATGCACCATTTTTCTGCTGCAAAAATCTTCATAGTTGTTGTTCGCCACAGTGG